TTAATCATTCACTCGATTGTCGAGATGTTCCTCCTCTAAGATTGACCATATTTACTGATTTTACTGGATTTTAATCAATTTAAATATAGAAAATAGTTGGACTTATGTAGATATACTTCTCAGATTTGATTTTAAACAACACATTCATATGATCGGTCCCACATACATTTTTTATTTTAAAATTCTCCCTAAATTACGGGGAGGCAAAAAACAAGTTTTGTTTTGTTATGGGTAAAACCCGAGCAGGACATGCGTCCACTCCTCTGCAGGCTGGGGACCACTAGTGGTTATCTCCCTCAACGGACATCGTCGAGTAGAGGCACATGTTCGCCCCAGAGGGAATAGGGGACCACAGGCGATTACACCCCGTACACAATCGTAGCTAGAAATGTATGTTGTCGGTACGACGAGCATATTCCGCGGCCGAGGGCGACATGCCCAGAGCCGCAAGGGGCGATGCCACTCTGCACATGCTGCTAGCACGTTCCCCTCTAACCAAACATACAGCGCGGTGTCCCTGCCACCTCTAACCGTCGTCCTTCCTGGTCAGCCCATGAGGCTATAAAAGTAGGGAACTTCATCTTCACCAAGCAAGTGGAAAACCTGTCACTAACATCTCTGGTGTCTTATTCCTATTTCTATTCCGATTACTAACTTGATTGTCAGAGTGTTTTAGGCGGAACACCGCACCAGCATGGAGTATTCTGGTTTCAGGTTCACTGGGTTTTAGGTCGGATTGCTTGTCCATGCACCACGTGGCCTTCTACCAAAATTCATCGTCAACAGTTGGCGCCGTCTGTGGGAAGAGACGTTTTCACGCCGAAAAACGAAAACTAGCTTCGCACTAAGACATCATTGGGATGGTTTCTGACAAGGTCGTTGACAAGCCTGCTCCGACTCCCCCCGCACCGCAAAAGGTGAGGGGAACCCGATACATTGTCAACACACTCCACCCGGTGGGACACCTTGACAAGAGGAAGGCGGGACACCCCCACTGGAAGAGTGCCAGATTCTGTAATGAGATGAGAGCGACACACGCCCATATGACTTTCCAGGTGGGAAGGCTGATCGAGATCTTAAGTGATCGAACCCACGAAACCTTCCCCCTTCCAAACAGAAGTGCTGTCGAAGGAGGAATTACTGAATGAGGACTTAGAAACGAGGACCCCCAGACATCTCCAGAACTTCCCTCAGGATCGGAAGATCTTCGGGATAAGCTCAATCGAGGCAGCTCCAAACGCGGTCCGACTATCCCTCGCTTGGACTCGGAGACAAGCACTGAGACGTCGAGCATACTAAGTAATTTCCAAGCCGAGATCGCCCAGGACAAGCTGGATCGAGTCAAGGAGGAGATCCTCAACCGGGGGAAGTCTGAACTAGGGGCCGGGGGCGTCGGCCCCACCACCTAGTACGAACCATCCAAGATCGCTCAAGAACCCTTCATGATCAACATCCTGGCTGTAGAGCTACCCAAAAGGTTCAAGGGACCTTGCCTGGAAAAGTACGATGGCTCAGCGGATCCTGTGGACCAAGCCACATCATACCACGACGCGATGCACCAAGCAAGATATAGAGACGCCGAGTAGTGTCAGGGCTTCTCAGGAACCCTCATCGGGCCTGCCCAGAAATGGTTCCAGGACTTCCCCCACATTCGATCGAGAGCTACCAGGACATGGTCAGTAAGTTCGTGGACCAATTCCATTACTCCTGCATCAACAGGTACACGGAGGCCCACCTCTCGTCGGTCAAATAGAAGCCGTGCGAGGACCTGAAGGCATATGTCACCCGCTTTTCCAATGATCGACTTAGGGTGCCAAATTGCAATGAAAGCGTGGCCCTATGGGCACTCTCCCAAGGAATCAAAGATTGGAAGTTCGTCCGCCAATTCGGCTAGTACCCCGCCAAATCCATGGCCGAACTTATAGTCAGGATCAACGACACATAGCAGGGGAAGAGATGCTCGCGACCCAATCCTTGGATAGGAAGCCGAGCGATGTGACTTGACGCGATAAAGGGAAGTCAACGGAAAAAACGACCCTAAGAAGGGAGTCGGTTGAAAATCTCTTGGGAACCAAGGCCGACTCAATGCAAAAGTATGGTAAGTATTTTCCCACTCGAATCTCACTGCACCGGATACTAGCCCGCATCGATGAAACTCCCATCGACAACCTGTTGCAGTGGTTGGACCACTCTCGTAGCGACACAGCTAAAAAAGGACAAAAGCAAGTACTGCAAGTTTCACCAGGACCATGGGCATGATACTGCTAACTGTAGGGACGTCAAGGATCAAGTCGAGTCTTTGGTCCAGATAGGGTACCTAAAAGAATTTGTGGGAGAAGGCGTTAAGCTCGGATGCAGTAGGCGAAAGTACAACGACGACAAGGCTCAGTCGAAGTCGAAATCCCAGAAGAAAGACGAACACCCGTCGACCGTCCTCACCATAAGTAGGGGCCAGTAAGGGGAGAATCCAGCAACAAGCGAAAAGCTCTGGCTCGGTAAGCCCGAGGAAGACTAGAAGCGCAGGAGATTTTGACCGTGAAGCTAGACAACCCAGGACCAGCGGTGACTTTCACGAACGAGGAGGCGAACACCCATCTCCAACCACACAACGATGCGCTCGTGGTAGTAGTAGGGATCGATCACGTTCCCATACATCGAGCGTTGTTTAGGCATGTTGCCATAAACTTGTAGTTTGTATTTATGTAAAAGTAAATTTATATTCAATAAAGTTATACTCAATCAATTTATTGTTGAATTCATTGGAATTATCTAATCCAATAAACTAAACATCCAAGGTTATTGTCATGTAACAGGGATAGTATATATACCAGGTATATATTTGAAATACACTCGATATACAAGTGGATAATGTCCCGGGAACAACCTAAAGAGTCTATAGTATATGGATAAGGCTGGGTACCTTATCCTGACAACATTATGGATACAACCCACTTTGTAAATGTTACAGACGACTTGATCCATGTCGTTCGTGTGGAGGTATGCGAGTGGGGGTATTCTATACAATGAGTTTGTATAAGACCCGACCACGAAATAACTGATCTTTAGATGTAACGCCGTTGACTAACAAATTGCTATTTCATTAGACGACCAGGCAACTCATTCTCAATCCTGAGTGAGTTATGGACTCCTGCCCGTGAGGGCTCGTTCTTTGATCTGTATGGGTGAGAATGGCTCGAGTCACTGACTCAACATCCCTACCATTTCGGGGACGAGACCGAGTGGGGAGCTGGAAACATAACTACACAAGATGGAATTCACTCCTTCCAGACTTTATGGGAGTAGATGAGTATTCCCTTTAGTACTGACTCCAAGACTTGAACAAGGGGCCCCATCCTCTCACTGGCCCGAGAGGACTACCGGTTATTGGTCGGACCTTAATTGGGCTGTTCATTAGAGAATCAGCGGTACTTAAGGTACAAGATGTAACACAGGGGTAAAATGGTAATTTGACCCATCTATGGTTACGAACACTCGTGAAGGATTGACTTGCCGTCAATGGTTGATATCCGTGGACACAGAAATACTATATAG